GATAAACACACGTTAAAGTTTAGATAAACTTTATCCATTTTTTGCAAAAATTCCACTTTTTGTTTAATGGACTCCGAAAGATACTTTCGCTTTGTATATCCTTTACATATTAGTAAATATATATCGGAAATTCTATTTGACATAATCGAAAGTTCAAGCTTACTTTTATGAAATTGCTCTAACAGTCTGCAAAAAATAATAATCCGGATCCAATTCGAAGATTAAGGAACAACGCAATCTGCAACATTAATTGAAATAGATAATTAGATAATTTTAGCTTAGCTTATCCCGTCCGTTATACATTAAACGCGCATTCGTAAACGTATTTTGCGCACGCGCACACGGAAATTAGCAGCGGTAAAGGTCTTGCGTCAACACGACGCATGCGCAGAAAGTTTGTAGCTTTGAGGTCCGGATTATAGATCATTCCGGATTATGGGTGTCCGAATTAACGACTTTTGACTGTATTATTATTTGGCGATATATTGGCCGGGCTGCAAAAATATTTGTTGTGGGCTGCATGCGTGCCGCGAGTTTGACATCCTTGCTTTAGATTGTAATTGCTCTTTATTTCATAAATTACGGTTTCATATTTTTAATTTTATAATTTCTGCATGCCATCTTACCAGATTTAAACTGATGATCTATAGTCCGGAATCGCTGAAGTCCCGACAAGTCCGAATTAAAGACTTTTGACTGTAGTTATTAACTCTTTCACACTGACTCGTGCTTACATGCCAGCAGAAATGCACTCATTTCCCAGCCAGCACTTTGGCATGCACGAGTATTTTTTCATTCTCCCACCGGCCTTCATACATCTGTGCCAGTGCCATGGAATGTTTTAAAAACCACTAAATGATGTCCTGTATCCATTACTTTTGAACTGGATATTGTAATTTTAGGATATTTACTTGATTAGATCACATTCTGGGAAACGTTGATGTCAGCTGTTGCAAAGGAGAAGCATAATGTAAACAAACAACTCGTCTCTTCAACTCCCCACACAAACATTTGCATATCTGATTCCCATTCAAATCCTTTTTTTTTTTTTTTTTTTTTTTTTATTATTATTATTATTATTCTGTTTTTGTTTATTATGTAAGATCTTTTAGAGTTACTATGTGGGGTTCTGTTATGCTTTGCATTGATTGCTTCTATCACTTATATTTTGTGTACTTCCCTTTTTATTTTGGAAAACATTAACTTCTTCCCTTTTTATTTTGGAAAACATTAACTTCAGTTTAATATGGCAAGCAGGCATTATTTATCAGACGAAGGATATGTTCACATTGTAAGTGAAGCCAATTATTGAATGAATGAGAGTGATGATTAATTTTCTAAAAAGTTTAGACAGCAATATTTCTAGTGATTCTCACAGGGACATTTTGGCAGAGATTGAGCTCATTGAGTGTCTGCCTTCCATTTCATGTGAAAGGTCTTGTTACTTCGCCTTTTAAATAATCTTTCTTGTATTTTTAAATTAATGTAAAAGTTTATTAATGTATTTTATCAAGTAAAAGTAATAATAATTTTCACTTCTGAAAATTATTTTTTATTATTGAAATTTATTAAAGTAAGTTATTTATTTATATATATATTTTCATCCTAAAGTAAAAACAAACACTTTTTTTCTATGTGTATGGGTGTGTGATCTTTTTACGAAAGTTAGGGTTAACTATATAAACTCTTTTAAATGCCAAAGATATGTTTATTGATACCTACATACAACCATATTAGCACACACATCATTACTGTGTCATGTGTTCATTTATATAAAAGAATTTGAACTAATTCATTGCTAAATGAATGCATTCTGCTTAGCCCTATGGCCTGCTGTGAAACCGCTAATTTTCAATTTTTTTCCCCTCCTCCTCTTTTCGAAAATTTTGAGTGAAAATCAATTGATTACTGATCTTTTACCTCTAAATAACACAAAATGACTCCAGAATCATACATGCTTTAGGTCTTAGTACTTCAAATCGGATGCCTTTTAAAATTCGTTTTCAATGAGACAAAATAACTTCCTTTTATTAATATAAGCAACTTTAAATTTCAAATGTTATTCATCGCACATCGTGATTTCTACCATAAACAATAAAAAATAGCAATAATTAAACTGCATATATATATAAAAAAAAAAACTCTATATGTATGGCATTTGCTCTAGAGCATTGTGTCACAGTGCTCTAGAGGCTCGGTGGTTGCGCTTTGAAACCACTGCCTTTCACAATTACTTTTGATTGCTTCTCAAATAGGAATGCTTATTTTTACCTGTATATAGATAAGTGGTTTTGAAACCACAGAGTTATTTTATTACTAAACAATACATGCATCTGCCCAGTATAAAGGTCTTTCTTTTCCAGAGTCTATTCTCTGACCTCAACACACTTTCTTCCCAAGCTAGTATTGTGATTTTATAAATTATTTCCTGTGGTTTAAATTTAATGTAAATATACTTTGCTATAATTAAAAATAGAAAATGCATAAAATTTTATTTAAATTTAATATATTTTCTGAATATTTTGGGACGAAATATGAATGAGAAACGAATGACCAAAGCCAAAAAGACCAAGCCCCCCCCCCTCAAATTAACATAAAAACCACGAATTTCATGTGCCAGATGAAAAGAAACTAAGTAACGCTGGACATATACCAGTGAAATTTAGATCCAGGCAGTGTATATTTTGTAGCACAAGGAAGAAACCTCATAGAAGATGCATGTGTGAAACATGCAATGTGGGTCTATGCATGTACTGAAAAGACAAAACATGCTTTGAACAGTGTCACACACACACACACACACACACGCACAAAAAAAAAAAAAAAAAAAAAAAAAAAAAAAAAAAAAAAAAAGAAGAAGAAGAATCCTTAATTTAGTGACTTTGATATATATATATATACACATTGAGTCAAACGTCCTTATTATGTAGGTACTTATATTTTCACTGCTATAGAAAAATTACATAAATGCTTAATTTTTTCTGAAGATTTACTATGTAAAAATATTGTATATAATGCAATTCTTACATACTTTTTTTTTTTTTTTAATTCATAAATTTCGTTATTTATTGGAAACTCACATGGAGAAAGGTAAGTCCCCCCTACTACCTCAGTAAGTTTCAAGGTCATAGACGCACAGTGTTTTCACAGTGCAACCACCACCCACAGAACAATGGGCAAGAGTAGATTTTTTTAATTCACATATTATTTGTTTCTAGGATCATAATATTCAATTTCTAGAGTTTTTAGTTAAAAAAATTATAATAATAATATTGCGTGCGTCAAAGGGTTAATAAAGGTAAAACATTTACATCCAGAATATGATACCATTTTCATTTATCTTTTCATTGGAGTAATAGTGCAGTTAAGTTTTTTTGGGGGGGGGATTGAATTTGCTGTCTTCGAGGGGTCATTTCTTTATCTGTATTTATAATAAAAAGCAAGAATTTCTGCTTCTAAAAAAATTCTAAACCATTGTTTATAACCCTTTTAACTTTATAGAGATGAATGTTTAAAATTTTAAAAGATTGAAACCATGTTTCTTATTTTGTCTATATGGTAAAAAAAACTTTCATTGAAAATAATAATAATAAAAAAAAGTTTCTCATAAATGACCAAACTTAATAATTTATATAATTTATTTGCAATTTCTTTTGATTAATTCAAATGTTCAAATTGCATTTGAAACTGTAACATAAGAAACTTTATCTTTTTTCTTTCTTACTTTCTGAACCTTTTATTCTATTACAGTTATTAAGTGGAAAAGTAATAAACAATCATTTTCTTATTTTTTGAAGCTCACTGTTGTTATCTGGTTACATGATCCTTTTGCACATTTACATTCTCAGATATATTAAAAATGGATTACATATTTAGAAAAATGGAAATGCTTATTACTAGGTTTTTGTCTAATTATTGTGGAAAGAGGAAAAGATTTAAAGTAGTGATGGGCAACTTCGGTACATTCTTGTACCCAGTACGAGAGTAATGGGTACAGACAAGTACCCGGTACAAAATACCCGTTACTCAAATAACCGTTACTTTGAAAAGTACCAAAAACCGATTTCAAGTACCGAGTACCCAAGTAACGATTTGGAGTAACGAAATACCGGAGTAACGGTTTGCTGTACTGGAGTACCCTAGTAACGATTTGGAGTACCAAAGTGCCCTAGTAACGATTTGGAGTACTGAAATACACAGCTAAAGATTTTGCGCACTGAAGGAACTCTGCCACGTCACCACATGTTTGATTTTATCTGTACGGAGTAAGATTTTGAATATCAGAAAACATGTCAACTACGGAAGTGTCTGAGTAGCAGACCATTCATGGACACAAGGAGCGCATATCCACCATTTCGCAAATACAACCAGATACTATTGTCCTCGTACCAAAACCGAAGAGAGCTGAACCCTCATCGATCCTCGGTTAACGAATACCAAAATACCGAGAAGAGACGCATATTTTTGTTAGAAAGTAACGAATACTGAAAAGCACCCGTTTCGGTACAGAAGTAACGAATACCGAAAAGTACCCGTTTCGGTACAGAAGTAACAAATACCGAAAAGTATCCTTTTTGGTACAGAAGTAACAAATACCGAAAAGTACCCTTTTTGGTACAGAAGTAACAAATACCGAAAAGTACCCATTTTGGTACAGAAGTAACAAATACCGAAAAGTACCCGTTTTGGTACAGAAGTAACGAATACCGAAAAGTACCGATTTTGGTACTGAAGTAACGGGTACTTGGATGTACCGATTTTCAATACCCGTTACAAAATACCCGGTTCGGTAGTAGCGCCTCATCATTAGTTTAAAGTCTTCTAATTGTGTTTTAGGTATTAGGTGTTCTTATTTAGTAGTAAATATATTAAATAGCAGTTGTAATTTAATCCGAAGAATTATCTGTAATAATTGATTTTATTATTTTCATCGCTTTTATTCTTGTATCCTAACCTGTGAATTTTCAATACTTAAGATATGCGTTTGCTTCATTTTATAGGTAACATGAATACTCTTGGACCAAGTCAAAAGTTAATAAGGTAATTTTATTTCTTTTTTTTTTTAAAGAGATTAATTGAAATTAGTATTTAGTGTTAATTCTTTTTATATTAAATACTGATTAATACTGTTGTGAACTTTATGGTTGATAGTTCTTTAAGTAATCACCTCAGATAAGAAGGAAGAAATTGATAATTTATTATTTAGTAATATAGTAGAATAAATAGCTCAAGGAGAATACAGATATTAAACAGTTCCTTAGTGCATGAAAAATATCGTAAGTTCCCAAAATCAGTTGCAGAGTAAACTCTGAATCACATTCAGCTGACTATTAATACTCACAGCTTATTAAGTTACCAACTTGTAAATTATTTCCAAAGGTCATCAAGAATGTATTTAGCCATATCTTATGTTCTACTTGCCCCCACAATTTCAACATTTTACTATATTTGTATCATTGCTCTATTTCTTGTGAATATTTTCTATTACCTGCAGTCTTTTCTTAGCTTTGTATCTTTCATACTCTTGACATCCTTTACGATTTTATGATTTTGACATCCTTTACGATTTTATGGTTTTATCCTTTATTACGCTAAATACAAGATTGTTTTTTACGATTTCGATTGATTAAAAATCTAGTTATAACCACGTGCAGTGCTGATAAGGACCACGTGTTTCTGTGACTCCTTTATTTTCTTCTTTCTAGGTATTTCTTTCTCCTGATGAGGAGGGACCTTTAGCTGCCCTCGAAATCGATTGAGTGTTTCATTATACCTACGCTAAATATAAGGTTGTTTTTTACGATTTTGATCCTTTACGAGTTTATGATTTTTTTCACTGGTAGTCTGTGAAGTCTTCATTTTCATGGCATGAAGTACCCTTCAAATTATCAGCTATCCAGGTTGCTTCATATATATTGGGATCCACAGAATATTAGACACTCATTGTATTTTTAATTTTCCAGTCACAAAGTGGAAATGCCAGCTATGTGAATTTTTCAATGTTGGTCACTAGTTTTTGAAAAGCCTCTTCTGCCTACTCTTGTTAGTTTTTTAAGTTCTAGTCCAGTTTTTCCCAATATGGGGCCCACGCCCCACATTGGGACGCCCACAACCCCACATTGGGATGCCCACAAGGGGGCATTTTAAAATGGACTCGTTCAGTGTTAAAGAGACAAGGGATGTTCAGATTTCTAAATTTTCTTCAAGAAGTTGAAATTTTTCGAAGTTTCATTTTTTATTCCCAAAACTAAAGGATAGTGTAAGTGATGTATATGTAAAAAAAGTTTCTAAATTGCGGTGCATTTTAAATATTTTATAAAGAATTTTTGCTGTAAGCATGGACATTTAAATGCTTTTAAAAGGCATTTAAATACCTGACACATTACACTTTCCAGAAGTTTCTTGCACGTACATACCAGCTAAAGAATTCTTCTTCTCTTCCCCCCCCTTTCTTTCTTTACTTCCTTGTGTGAAGTTAAGGAAGTATTGTAATCATGGGAAAATTTTGGGTATCGTATTTCAACAAAAATATTCGCTTTGACTGCTATCGAGTGCAATTGAATGATGTTTATGACTGGGTTCGTACGGTCCTTAAAAGTCCTTAAGTTTTTTTTTATTTGATTTTTGGTCCTGAAGAGTCCTTAATTTCAGCCAAAATTGGGAGAAGGTCCTTAATTTTAATCATGTGAAATTTCTGTCTGTTTGTACGACTGAAATTTTGAGTGTGAATTGCCATTTTGGAGGTATATTTTTGATGATTCCCTGATAAATATGGTTGTCTTTTGAATGGGTTATAATGTGTTCCTATTTCTAATATAAATGGTGGGATACTCGAGTTTCTAAGTAAGAAGTGAAACATAAGCATTTCGAAATTGTTTCACCTTTTTCTAATGAAGAGATCCTAAATAACTTTTTTTCTTGTGGGGATGGGACGGCTCTATTCAGTTTCCATAAATTTTTAATTCCAAGATCTGGCAATTTTTCGACAATTTTTTTTAAACTTTATAACATTTGATATGTTTCATTAAAATAATGGTAATATATGGAAATTCTATTTTAAAATATAACATTTTTATTTTTTGATGTCATAAAGTTCTATTTTGGCTACTTATTATACAATATTTTGAATCTGAAAAATAAACAAGATATAATGCACAATTTATGAAACAGTTCTTAGCAAAAGCAAAATAGCTATGTAATTAATTAAAAATATCTTCCTTTTAATTTTTTCATGATAAGAATTTTCTCATGTAATTGTTTCAGAATTCTCAGGATATGCATCAGTTTTCCCTATAAAGTTAAGTCTGATTTGTTTTTCCCCAAAATTATTTCTGGCTGTTCGCTGTTACAAAATTGGTAGGAGTAATTTTTCTTTGGGACATTAGACATTACAACTTGAAGCAGGATTGCTGAACTGCAACTTGAAGCTTGGAAAGTTTAGAAGGATTTTAAGGCAAGATTTATAGTCCCACGATTCTAGAAGATTCTTGAAAAATGTGACAAAATGACAAATGTCTGTATGGTATTAACAGATAATGGATGTATTTTACAGAAAATTTGCAATGAATTTCTTACTTTTTGAAGAAAATTTGAAAGAACAATGAAAACATAATATTTGAACATTTTACTTCTGAAACTAGAGGGTTCCCCCCCCCTCTTCTTTATGCTTACCTTTCCTTTATTTTCTCTACTTTTCACTAGACACAAGCACGGGAAATATTAAAAATGCTTCTAATCATATCACATGGACAGGCATTATAGAAAGGAAATTTTTGATAGTAAAGAAATTGTAAAGTGGCAATTTAAAAGATTCATCTAATATACCTTAATACACAGGTCTGATGCTAGATGATGATGAGTGCATTTTCCCACCTGGTAAAATCACATGGAATATTAAATTTATATCTGTCGATCCTAAATTTTGCTCACTAGTGCCCTTTTAAATTCTGCTTCCAGTGCCTGCTCTAAATTCTAAAAGTTTTGCCATTTCTAGATTGTGTTGCTCGGTGTATCATTAATGCATTTAGTTTTTTTTTTTTTTTTTTTTTTTTTTTAAATAACAGAAATCTTTAATTAAATCCAAAAATTCTAAAATGAAAAGGAAGCATGTTGAAGAAAAAAACCAAATACATACAGAGAAAGAAAATTATTCTTCAAATATATATACAGTTTTTATTATGTAAATTAGCCAGTTATTTATAATTTCCCATTTCTATTTCCTCCCCAGAATGCAAATCACTTAGATAGTTTTAAAACTGAGGTTTTTGATGTGTGGGACAGAATGTGTTTTTAATCTCCGTTTGCTCGCTACATTAGTTCTTGCCAGCTGTGATAATTTGTAACTTTTTGTCTGCATTATCGCTGCCAGCATTTGAATTAGTTATGACAATAGGGTTACTGAGCCAGCTTAAGTTAAAATTAAATTGTATAGTCTTTGACCACTAGTCCACCTTTTTTGTTTGAATTTGACTGTTCTTGTTTAATTACATCACCATAAACTGCAATTGATTTGGTTAGCATAAGAATATGCCTTTAAATGCTTTTTAAATAAGAGGCTTATTTACACCTTTGTCTAACTTAACTTTCAGACATAGCGATAATTTGCTTCACATCTGTCGGGAGGGTGTTGGACTATTTAACTTTTACCAGATCAAGTAAACCCTCATAGGTACATTGTGGGGAGTTTGACAAGTTAGGAGATAAAAGAACACAGAAACTAGTGAGAAGGTTGGTTTGCATATTGAAAGACATTTTTAATTCTTAGAAAAAATGCTCAAAGAGAAGGAAATCGATATAAATTAGCCAAAATGTCTGGGCACGCTTCAGATTAAAAAGATGCATAAATATTTTGTTGAGTGTTGTTGCTACAAAACATATCAATGACATAAATTAGCATGTCTTTTAAACTGTGTAATTTTATTAGATTGTGATTTTAATAGGGCTTTTTAATAAATATTATTAAAAAATAAGTAAAATTTAATAGTGGTCATGTAAATCCATAATGACTAAGGTTATCTAACTACCTAATTCAGTTATTTACATTAACCTGTTCTCCTGCTTTTAGTCAGAAACATGACTATCATTTTAACTCGACGAATGTTAACTTAACAGATCTCGTTGGAAGGAAACCTCACATCACCCTCAAAAGATATTTAAAAGACATCTCTTTTAACCATATGATTTGAAGTTTTTTCTCCTTTTATCCTGCTCTACGTGTTACTAGAGCATTTCTCCATGCCTTCGTCAGCGTTACATGTTCATTTTAACAATTCATCTGATACAGTGTGTTTGTGCATTTTGGATTTTATGAACCGTTCGTCTGGCGGCACATAATAACCTTCAAGGTTTTGTGCTATTAAAAGTCAACTAACCATCAATTATTTATAACTGGTACAAGATAAAACACAAAAATGTAAAAAGTCATGTAAAACTTATTCTTTGTATCTAGTGAGACCTAAAATAATACAAAGCAATTTAGTATCACCTTTGGTGCTTTAGTGGCTTATTGGAACCTTAAAATATGTTAACTGGGTTACAACTAAGGTTTCTACCTCTCCCGGAATTGGGTCCTGAAAATTAAAATCTCCCGGCTCCCGGAATATCAGGTTTCTCGAAAAGAACGATACAATGCGCACGGACGAAATGGTTGAGAGCATCGAAAATGACACGACTGCGCACAGCAACCAAAGAACATCTATTGTCAATACATATTCTTTGCAGCAGCGATCTACGGTGAGCGGTGAATAAGCGCCTTAGGGATGAGTTGTGGTTTCATGCCGGCGTGTCGCGCTCATGTGTCCTCATTTCCCCCCCCACCCTCTCATTTTCATTATATTCTTTAATTTAGTCTGCAATTAGCTAGCTATCCATGAAAATGTGTATTTGGAAATTATTTAAATGCTTTCATAATAATGTGTAGTGAAAAAAAAACGATTCTGATTCTGCAAGTGAACAAGTGCCACAAAAAAAGACAAAATATTCGACGTCGTTTTAAGACAAGTGGTTAACTTAATTTGATTGGCTTATGAAGAGAGACAGCT